GGGGTCCTTATAATTGTACATTGGACGTGATTGGTATTTTTTTCTTTTTCTTTTTAAAAACGTATATTCCACATGTTACAGTTTTGTATGCTGTGTGTAGGCCTAATATTATTTCTGCTGTAGCCAACGCAGCCTTTTATATAGGACTTATTTGCTTATGCTGGTATTTAATAAAAACTGATTAGACTAGTTCAAGACTGTAATATTTGATAAAGATTATTTGTTCTCTTAATTTTTCCATATGTTCACTTACCTTTTCCAAAAATTCAATAGACGAGTTGATTATTGATTATGAAATGTGTAAAGAGGTAGAAACATAATATCAATAGTAATCAACACTAAACTTGGAAAGACAGCATCTTATCAAAAACACCGAAAGGAATAGAAGACGACTAAAGTAATTGGGAATTCCCGAAAAATTTATGAACAATAGCGGAAGTACTTGTCTACTTGTTACTCGTCAACAACAAGAGAGTAGGCCAAGAGAGGAGGAGAAGCTGATTCACCGTGGACCGTGGGGACAAAAGCAAGCGTGAGAGGAATACTGACGTGTACTAACCCGAATCGTGCGCAGAGTGGTAAGAAAATGTGTTTTTTGTTTATTTTGCTAGATTGCCCCCCTCCCCTCAATTTTGTTTGAAAAGTAGAGGTAGGCTACAACTTGAGTTACTCCTTGGTCATTTGTAATTGTTTTGACTTGTTACAAGTGCTGCTTGGTACTTGGTAGGGCGGGGATGGAGTTGAAGTTGATTCTGATTTGAGAATGAGACTGATATAGATTGAAATGCTAGAGACTGAGAGTTGAGCTCCTTGTCCTTTCTTCGGTCTGTCATCTAGCAAAAAAAGAAAAAAAGAAAAAACTTAAAGCATTATTATAAAAGGCATTGAAAGGCCAAAATCTGAAACTCATTAACTTCCTAGGGAAGCAAATGTTGATGAGAGCTCCTCCCTCGTCTCATGACTGAGCAGACCAAGCAAGAAGAGTGCAAGACTAAACTTTTAAAAGATATGGATAGAGAGATGGATTTGAATTCGTTACGCTGTGACTGTGATTGTTTTGACGAAGAGCTTAATGCAGAATGTTTATTAGAAGAGGCAGAGTATGATTCAGAGTCATCAGATGTCGTACGGGTTATATATGGCAACAATGGCAATGCTTTGTTTGGTATGTATGTAATTATAAGTATTAAAGTAGCTAAAGACAGCTTGAGAAGTTATAATTTTATAACAAGTAGACCTCAAGGTGGATCCCATGTTTCGTCTACCCACTTTAGTTGACTACCTTTTGTACTTTTGATTTTAATCTAGATTTCTAGATCTAGATCTAGATCTAGATTTCTAGATCTAGATCTAGATCTAGATCTAGATTTCTAGATCTAGATCTAGATCTAGATCTAGATTTAGATACTGGGTGATCCCAAAAAACAACAACCGTACAACTTTTTTTCTGAATATCTGGCGATAAAATTGTTCTAGAATGCTGTAATTTGGAACATAATAGATCTATATATATATATATATCATTCAAAAGGATTTTGTCACAAAATCCACAAATGAGAAACTTGTTTTGAAAATGGAAATGGCGTAAGAAAAAAGCACCCTAAAACGCCAAGTTCACAAATTTAAAAAAATCTTATGACTAAAGGAATTTGTGAAAAGATTGGTTGACTTTTTCTTTATTTTATCTTTGACATTTAATTTTCCGTCCCCGTGACATTTTAAAACAATATTTAATTTCTTTTACAGAGTTTTTAAAAAATAACAATTTCATTTTGAAATTCCTAAAAGCAGTGGTCTACATGCCCTCCTTTGGACTCGACAAATTTTTAACACGTCATTCAAAATGTTCAATGGCACCCAAACACTAGAACCTGCTAAACAAACAATGAGTGGTTAAAGCCAACACTGTACATCAGTATGAACTGGCTTCTAGAGACAATAGGGAGTGGGGTGCCCAATAGACATCTTTTTTGGGGGTTGACATCCCGCAGAGTGAAAAATGGGCTTTGCACTTTAAACCAAATGTCATCGAGGAAATGATTCCACTTTTCAAGACAATTTAGGAATCATGAACACATTTCCATGTTCTGATCCTTGTCATCTCCGCTGAGCGAAGATGAAAATGGTAGAGTCATAAGTTAAGATCTGCCCTGAGAATGCAGACTGTTGAGGTGTAGGAAAGTACCAGCTGCAGATAGTCTAGGGACAGACGTCTCATGGGACTCGACTACAGAAATCTGCCGCCTGGTGACGTTTAAAGGGCTGCACATGGTGCGTGTTCGACCTAAAGTGGTTATTGTTTAGGACATTTTTAGTGCTGATATTCTCAAAAGATCCGAACTAACGGAACTTCTCTACTCATGACACCAAAGGTCTTAAGGGCACCTAAGCATTTCTCCATGCAGTACGCAGAACTTACGAAATGTTAGTGATGTTGAGTTTGTGGAGAGGTAATGTTCAATCAAAAAGTTCTCTGCTCTTTCTTAAACGTAACCATGATCTCGGCAAGCAAACGAAATTTGGGTAAAACAATATCTGCAGACTTCTGTTGACTTGTTAGACTGCTGTAGCTTGCAATATGGTACGACTGTTGCAATTTTTAGTGGTAGGCCTAATGCGAACTGGTGCGTCATGCTATAAAAATGGCGTCAAAGTTGAAAATGAGTTGGTTTTTTAATGCGCCTTATAGAGCAAAAAAACATTCAATGGACTTATCTAAAAAATGAATATCCGACAAATTCCTTTTGACTTCCAAATGTTGTGTTAAAATCTGAAACGATAAATGTCAGTATGGAGGAAGGTATTTACAAAACAAGTACAGTTTTTCTGGGATCACCCTGTATTAGGGACTCCGCTTAGTCCCAAAACGTCTCGTCAAAAGGCATACACACATGGTATACATTTTACAGTCACTTTATATCATTAAGATTAATTGAGAACATTAGTATTTTTGTTTGTTTATTTGAAAATGCATGAACAAGAAAATGAAAATATATCGTTTTGTGCAATAAAATGGTAATGAACAGGCCTAAATCTAGATCTAGATCTAGTTTTTTAATTGATAATTTTCTTGTGCCTTGAAATTACGTATTCTTGAGTCACACAAGATTAAGAAGCAGAGCATAAATTAAATTGTTCCACTCTTGTCAAACTTTACAATGCCCAATTTGTCAAGAAGAATTCCGTAACGAGCGACCTTTACGAAATAGAATAGAATCGAAGGTTATGGTTAGAGTTAGGGTTGAAGCAAGGGTTAGGGTTGAGGCAAGGGTTAGGGTTGAGGCAAGGGTTAGGGTTGGGTTAGGGTTTGGGGTTGAGTTAGGGTTAGGGGTAGGATCAGGGCTTGGGTTTGGTCTCTTCTTTATTGTGTTTGTTGGGGTGGTCGCTGGTAACGAGGGAAGTCCTTCCAATTTTGCAATAGTTCTGTTACAATTCATTTTATTTGTAGTGTAAGGCATAGACACTATTTAAATTACAGTACATATATATTTAGTGAAAGTGCGGCTAAGAAAAATACTTCTTTTGTTGTGTGAATTTATTTTCTTGTAGAAAATTTGTTAGTACAGTCGTCTTGGGCTAATAGTATGCTGGATATGAGAACTGTCTGCTTGAAACACGCTGGCTATGAAGAACCAAATTTTCACTATTATAATCACCTGTAAGTGCGCTTTCTGAATTGACAGCTCTGCCGAATAGCATGGTTGTTTCTAGCTGGTATCAGAAACAGATCTTTCATATAATATATATATAATATAGGCCAAGAACGACTCATTTGGCTTGGAATTGATGGAAGTGAAATAAATACATCATGTTCTCCTTTCTTACTTGAAATCATTTCTTTGCCGTGGAGAAAAAAAACATAGGAGGACGAAGTGTTCAATTGTGCTATATGAGGAAAGCTTGTGACAGGCTATGCTTGGCTGGTGGACAGTGTGAAAGGGCTGTGCAGTGATTATTTTGGTTGTTACGTGTGGTTGCTCTTCATACCTCGGGGGCTTGCTCAGTTCAATGACAGTAGAACCCACAGTAGGAGATCATATCCGAGGTGTATATCAATCATTAGAATTTAACAATACAGTAGAATCTATTCAAGATGATATCACAAGTAAGGGAGCTAAAAAATATACATGTTGTACCTTACACATTTTCCGTCTTGGACAGGGGAATGTGTATGTGTGTCAGAGGGGGGAGGGTCCAAAGTGCCAACCATGCGTGGTGGAATTAAGGGTTGTCTGTGTGCAATTGTCAAGCTGTGGTCAAAACTTCACACTTCTTAAGTGCTGTCTTAGCCGCTATTATAATTGCATGGCATCAGTTTTACAAACCCATTGTCACTGGTATTTGCATCGTTAGGACTATTGTCTGAGCTATCAAAAACAGAAAGGGTTGACTTAAAAGTCTCCTACTGTGCTTCCAGTCATTGATGTAATAAGCACAGTCAGTCAATGCCACCCCTCCCCTGCATGTAAAAATGATCCAAGGAACTTTTTTTGACACTGACCGTATGATCAGGGCTGCAGGCAGTGGTCAAATTTCAGACCTCTGGCTACTGCTACCAAAGAAAGTTTTTGTGCCAGTGCACCACTACCCTGACCATCTGCAACCCCTGAGGGCCCCCCAAACCTCGCCCCTTCCCCCCTTCATCGCCTAGCTGTGTTGCATATAGAGCTAATGGAACCAAACTTAAGAGTTTTGTTTCAAGTAAGCATTGAGCTGGAAAAGCTTTTGCATCCTTGACAGGTCACAACCCTCCAAGGGGGAGGAATTTCTGTCCATGAAGGGTTCCGTCTTAGGCAGATATATTGATGTATGTGGAATTTACCAAGGGAGAAGCAAAGAGATTCCATCATAGGCAGGTTTTCATTCTTGCAGGTTTGACTGTACTCACTTTAAATACTCTATAATAACACCCTTCAGCACTCAGTAACTTGCAAGTTCCCATAAGAACATGTTTCTCTTGTCATCTGAGGAGTGTGCTCTTAGCCAGAGACCACTGTACCTGACTCGTCTTTATGTTATATATGGCTTTGACTTTGCTCGCTCTTTCTGAGTAGGCCTATGTGTACCAGGCATATTATTAGTAAATTGAAAACTTGTTGTTTGTTTAACTTCTATACTGGAGTTGAGTGAGGAGACTCGGTGATGGGAGAGGAAAGCTAGAAAAAGTTTTTTTAAAAGATCCTGTTGCTGAAATTTACTGTAATGCTTTGAGTAAAATGGTGTTCAGAACTCGATGCTGTGTATTGGTGAATCAGCCAATCTTGTCATGCTTTAAAAATACAGTGTATTTTTATGCTGCTTTTCTTATAATTTCAGAAGAACGCTTAACAATGGCGGCTAATCTTGTTGGTATGGCCTTTATACCCTACTATGATCATTTGATGGGGATACTGAAGACAAATCCTGAACTAGCAAAAACGGCCAAAGGTAACACACCATTGTTGGGGGGATTTTTGTCGAACATTTTGTTTGTATTTATATATCTGCTTGTATAGCTACATTATTACACAATGGCAATAATATTCTATAAGTAATTGTTTAAACGATCTGGCACCACAATATCATTCTAATTTGTTACAAGAGTATATTCCATCTCAAAATTTGCAGTCCAGTAATAAAAAACAACTGTAGATTGTGCCTTGTAAAACTAAAGTAATTGGGAGTAGAGATCTATTGATAGCTGCTCCCTCAGTATGGAATTCCCTCCCACTCCATTGAATTGGGACGTTTACTTTGACCACATATAAGTCTGGTTGAAAAATACATTTATTTAAATTCATTTTGCTAAATAGTTTGATTTTTCTACCATCAACGAGTGTTATCAGAAGCCACTGTGATTGTCTTTTTGTGTATGTGATCTTTGTCAGTTTTTGGATGAAAATGTATTTGAAAGGATTGTTGTACATTGAATGGGCCAGTACACATGAAATGTTAATTTAAATCTTTATTTATTTTGAAACGCCTTGAGACACCTGGGATTATGTGCTATAAAAGTCATCATTATTATCACTACTATGATATTTGTTTTCAAGAATGCAATTTAATGCTGTCTCTGACTAATGGTCAATACAAAAAAAAGTAGAAGTTGCCATCATATCAGTGCTGTATGTAGTACTCAAATTATGTTTAACTTGGCCATGAGACTCTAACTCTCAGGCTTTTTAAAATCGTTTTATGTGCCCAAGTGCATAGATTAATTGAACTAACAACATCCTCGATAATTTTATTTTAGACTTTTTTTTCTTCCATCGGAATGAACTAAATGTTGCTTTAAATAGTAAACAACTTAGCCTGACTTTTGCAAGTTTATTAAAAAATGTTGGGTCTTACACACTTGGTGGATAGGTTTCATTTTTCCTTGTTATGACTAGTAAGTTGACATGAACCTGTCAGGTCTTTCAAATGGAACATCGATGGTCATGTTTATCATTCGAAATAAGCTAATAAGGCTATAAAATATGCATCTTTTTTTTTGCTAGGCATTTTCAAGCAGGTGGCATGGGGAGCTGCAGGTACAGTGGCTGGAGCAGCATTTGGTGGACCTTTTGGGGCGATGGTTGGCGGAATTGCTGGTGAGTGTTGACCACAATATTTGTTAATTAAGTTTCAATCCTGAATCGTGGGTGGTTGGCGGGTTCTCTGGTTTGGTTTACTCCTTCTTTCCTTTCGAACATCTATCGTCCTGATGGCTCCTCCTTTTTAAAAATGTTTGTTACTCTCTTGTGACACATCTAATCTTTGGCACTTATATGACCTTATTGTGTTGCAAGTGCCGTAAAACTCTTACTAAAACTAAAAACTAAGTCCTGAATCATGTGTGAATCTGTTTTTCTTATGAATCTGACATATTTTGATGAGGTCTTGCTTTGAGTCGAGATTCCTTTTCAATCATCTCTGTATCAACCTGTTTTTCTTCTCTTCTGCTGCCTGTACATCTTTAGTCTCATTGCTTTATGTTTTTCTTAGTTTCTAAGGCCTGTCATCGGAAGAGGGTGGGGGGGTGTCCAGTACGCTGTAGGAGTGTTGACAATCTCACTTTTCAGTCTGGGGTGTGGGGTTCTTTCCCTTACGACCTTTTCCGGGAGATCCTCACAGTTCTCTGAAATGTGCTCAGCCTTATTCCAGGAAGACCTTGTGCAGTATTTTGAACAACCTATTTTTATTATACCCTCGACTGAGACCTGTTGTGCAATGAAAGACACAAAACCTGTTTTGTGATGAAAGGATGTAATATTTCTAATGGGAAGAAAAGTAAAAGGGGGAATATTACATTCCTGTAGAGATATATGTAATGAATGCAACTGAGTTGCCATGAATATTATTATACCATTTAATATTTTTTTAGTGTATCCATTGCTGTTGCCAGGCTCACTGTGTGACACATTTTTTTGAAGTATTTTTTTTTACCCTCATTATGTATGTATATTTATATACACATAATATGTTCCTCATGTCTTATACACCTGTCTAGTTGTTCTAAAATTTGGTATCTCTTTGAATGTTATGTGCATTTAGCACTTTAAAAAAAAAGAAATGTGCTGCATAAATGAATGCTATTTATTATCATTATTGTTGTTATTATTATTAGTAGTAGAAGTAGTAGTAGTATTGTTGTTATTATTATTATTATTGCTATTGTTGTTATTATTAATATTACAATCTAGCACTCATTTATTAAGCTACACGATGCTTGTCATGAGCATAACCTCCTTTCAAGCCCTTATATCTCTTGCAATTGTTTGCAGGGTCAATGCTTGGCTACAGAATGAGTGATGACTACCAGTCTCTCATTGACGTTCTTCAAGACCTTACAGAGGAAGACAAAGAGGAGCTTGTGAAGAGAGTGCAGGAGCTGGTGGGAAGCTCATCAATAGAGGCTTTGACCCGCTATATTGGAACTCAAGCCCAGCGGTCAGCTTTGCTTAATTTGCTCAGGTCTGCTGCAACAGACCTTGGCAAGGGAGGATAACCCGCTTTTTGCTTTTAAAAAATTGTGTGTGTTGAGTTTTTGTTGCTTTTTTTACTGTACTGTTGATGAGGAGATAATTAAGTTTGTGTTGCCAGGCTAAAACATGAGAATACAATTTTTAGTGTAATGTAGGCCTACTTGGTATACAAAACTATTGAAACTTGGGCGTTTCTCTATTCATGTTTCCATACGAGGGACATACCCAAAGTGTTTTTTTTACCTGACCATAAAGGAATAAAGGCAGAAAGCTGAAATTTGGCACTAACCTTAATCTTTCTCTATGTAGTCCCCTCCCACAGTTATACATTTTTGCCATCCATGTATGACCTTGAAAAAGCCTTGAGAATAGAAGACCCTCTCTTTGTCAGAAAACCAGCCCTCCACCACTTCTTTGATCTCATCATCACTTTCAGAATGCCTTCCTTTTAATACCTTTTTTAGTTTGGGGGAATAAAAAAGATCGAAGGGGGCTAAATCTGGAGAATAGGGTGGATGTAGCAAGATTGCATAGCTACTTTCTCGCGCGCTTTCTGCAGCTTTTCTTGAAGAGTGTGCTGGCGCGTTGTCGTGAAGCAGCAAAATGCCTTTTCGGATCTTTCCTCTACGTTTTTCTTTTGTAGCCTGTAGTAATTTTTTTTAGCTTTTTAAAATAATGGTCTCCGGTGATCGTATATCCATTTTCAAGATAGTCTATCATAATCACTCCTTCTTGGTTCCAAAAAACTGATAGTATCACTTTTCCACTTGATGGCTGCACCTTTGCCTTCTTTGGTGTTGGAGACGAGGGCGATTTCCATTGCATTTGTGCAGATTTTGACTCAGGATCGTAGTGGTGAACCCATGTCTCATCCATGATTACAAGTCTTTCAAAAAATTCAGTTCCATCCTTTTCATACAGACCAAGCAATTCTTGATAACAATCAACACGTTGCACTTTTTGAGGAGTCAACAAACGTGGCACCCATCTCGCAGAAACCTTGGTCATAATTCAAATGTTCATATAAGATTCGTTCAACTGATTCAATGCTAAGCCTAGTTTCTTTGCTCAAACATTCGACTGTTACCCGCCTATCAGACAACACAAGTTTCTTGATTGTCAACACATTCTCTTCTGTTGTTTGCTGCCACTGGGAGACCATCATGGTGGTCATCTTCAATTCAATGTCCATGAATCTGCATTTGAATTATTTTACACCAAAATTTTATCACAGCATGGGATGGGCAATCAGTTCCATATAAGGCATGCATCTCCGTAAAAATATCCTGTAGTTGATTAACTAGCAAGAACAAAAACTTCTTTTCTGCCCTGTGCTCAATGTTCTCCATTTTTATGTTGAAACTGGAGAACAGCATACCTCCATTCACTTACAGTGCGCTGGCGTTGAAACGAGTGATCGGAAATTCCCCCAAAATTACATGCATTCTAGGAAGATGATTGTTGGCTTTAACCCCAAATTTTAGCTTTCTACCGTTATTCCTTCATGGTCAGGTTAATAACTTTTGGTATGTCCCTCGTATATATATAAATGTTTGTGTATTTACGTGAACAGAAAAATGTTTTTGCAGGTTGCACATGGTTTTATTGTTAAAATCTTAATGGAAACTGGCGACATGAATGAATGTACTGACACTAAAGAAACTAATCAAAGATAAGCCAAATATCGTTTGATAAATGTTTTATATATATCGTTAATAAATCACACACGGATGTTTACATCAATACATAGTTCAACATATTTTGATTTCTACTCATCTTTAGACCATGTTTGTTCTCTCTTTGGAAGTTTTCATAATTGTATTTTTGGGCTCTAAGCGGCATGGGGCCAATTTAACCCCTTCATAACCTGTGACTCTCCACATACAGGTTATATTGCGTCACTGATGTACGCCATAAAATCAGCTGATTATGTCTATGCCAAGGAAGTTATGACATACAATATCTTCCATAATTTAATACACAAGGCCATTGTTGGCAATAGAAGTCTGAAATAGTTGGCTGTTGTAGTCTGAAATAGACACGAGGTTTGAAATTTATGATAGTGAAAATGTACAAGAAGAATTTTTTTTGTCTTCAAAGGGGATTTTTAGGTCCAATTTAGCCTAGATCTTTCCTTTATGTTGTGTGTATATGAATACTGACAAGAGAGCCCTCATCCTGGGTTATCAAAACAGCCCTGTCCAGTCTTTAATTAAATATTTCATGTTTTGAAAAGGTTAAAAGTTGAAGTCTCCTGCTGAAATAAGGCATCCTTTGGATCCTTGGGGGGGGGGGGGGGGGTTGGTTTGTTCAAAGTGTGAACAGCAATGGAGAATAATGGGCTTTTCTCTTTGTCACTTAATGTTACTTGAAAAGGATACTCAGGGTGTTGCCGTTGTTGAAATAAGTAAAACAGATTTTTAGTTGGTCTTTTTTTTTTTTTTGATGTTGAGGGAAAATACTTTGTAGTGGATGTTTGTCAGATAAAAGTAATTTATGTTTTGAAGTTCTCTTTTCAAGGTGTTTTCACATGGTTTAGAATCAGTGCTTGTTAATCTTTTTATAGCTAGGGGCCCACTTCTGCCACGTTTAAAGAGGCTGAAATTCTATATATATATTGTATTTCCTAGTTTGGCATAAAATAACAACTGTCACTACTTGGGTGATCCCCGTGATACTGCCCAGGTTGGCAAGCTCTGATTCAGCTGGGGGGGTTTTCTTGACTGACTGTTTTTGTCCTGAATGGGAACTATTGCATCGCACAGAAATTCTTTTTCAGTATAATTTTGAACAAACTTATTAGTATCTCTTGGGTAGCTTGATAGCAAAACAAAACTTGGTAAAATTTGTTTGTTGTCTTAGTGTGGACTAGATACTATTTCCTGTTTTTCTTTAGCCCCTGTAATGTATTGTTTTGTTTGAATTTGTATACAAGTACAAGCAACTGGTTAACATAATAGACATTTTATCTGCTGATTTCTATTAATGTTCCTGTAATATTTCTCAATGGCTGTAATAAAAAGACAGATAACTTTCATGTTGGTTTTGAACTTGAACGGCAGGCGTACACTCAGGTCTGAAGTTCAAATCCAAGTGGGGTTCAAACATTTCTTGCCTCTCCTGGATTATTTCCTTACACGCTGGTTTCTGGTGAGGCACTTAAAGCTCCATTTGAAATGACAAATTTTGTATATCTATTTGTGATGTTCCTTTCATGACAACGAGAACAGGAAAAAGGCTGGAGGAGCTATTACCGAGTGAGGGTCCTTATTGGAGAAGGGGTGGGGGGAAGAACTGGTGAAATTTTGTTTTGTCCTTGAGAACTATTTGCATGTTAGTTTGCTGGGTTGGATTGTATAAAAATTTCTGTGAATATATATATATATATATGCATGTTCAAGGATGGATTTTTAGTTTACTATTTTTCAAAACAACAAATTTCTTTCTTACTTCGACTCAAAACAGGATTCAGTATTTACAATTGAGTCTGTCTAATTTACCCAAAATCTGGGGAACCGTCAGATTTTCATATGTTTAGTTGCATTTTCAGGTTAGAGAGGCTGCTGCAATAGAAGGGAAAAGAATTGGGGATTTTATTTTCTGTGGGTTTATCGCTGTTTTCGTATTAAACATGTTCGGTTTAAACCAACTCCACTGTATTTTATTTTGTGTTTTGTGAACTCTAAGATTTTTTCTCTATATTTTTGTGATTCCTCTGTGACTTTCATGTCCGTAGGTGTTTACATTTATACCGAAACAGTTATGTATAATTTCTGAGTAATAGTCTTACACAAAAAAAGTGTTAGATTTTGTAATACTTTATCCTCTGACGGTTGCAGTGCATTTTTTGCTGTTGAATGACTGCTTTAAAGTTTGTACATGTGCAAAGAAAATCTGCAGGTCCCGCAGATGTCAGTTAGAGTGGACTCCACTGTAGGCCTACTTTCAAAAATGATTGATGAGACTTACTTGTGTATGAATTATAGAAAGGCATTGGCTGTATTTATCTTTGGTTTAGAATGCTGCAGAAGCACTTCTATTTGGATGTTATCAGTGTTCTAAAAGAATTTTTCTGTCTAGTGTGTATGTGTGTGTGTGTGTGGGGGGGGGGGGTATTTTTTAAAATGCCTTTGTCTTGATATGAAAAAGAAGCTGCAAATATTTTGGCATACTACTACAGCTGCTTGTGGTTGTGAATTTCCTGTTGTCAAATCACTTTAATTCATTCTTCTCTTTTGTGCCATTCCAGACTCCTTTTCTCCAAGTTTTGCTGGGGGGGGGGGGGGGGGGGTTCTTTTACACGTTTTTACATCTACATTTGAAAAGTTTCGTATGATGTGTTGTGTGAACATGGTGTACGCCTTATCTGATAACCGAGATTTTGCATTAAAATCTGGGAAAGATCTAAAAAGCTTACTGTGTTCTTTTTCATACCTCTACAAATTCATCGTTGAATTGGCTGTTCACTTATTTCTTTTATTTAATTCCGTATTTGCTGTAGGAAACGGAACCATCCTGTCAGGTGGATAGTTTGCAAGTACTCTGTTGTGATTTTCTCCCTCTTTCCTTTTTTACATCAAACATCCTTATCTTTCCTCTTTTTTTTTTTGTTGCTCTCTTGAAATACCTCAAATCTATGGCATTTATATGACCTAATTGTGTTGCAAGTGCCATAGAAAATGCTTACCAAAACAAAATAAACAAATGGAGTAGATATATATTTTATAGATGTTTCCATCCTTCTGCCAGGATGTATGCCACATAACCTTAGTTGGCCCTGGCAGACCGAGTCATAGCATCTGGCCTCTTCAGTGGCCTAATTTTTTATATATTTAATAAGGACAATAAAACAATTCTTACAATAATGTCGCTAAGGAAAACCCATCATCTTGAAGTTATTGATCTTACAGTTGCAATGGGATTATTATAATGTTTAGCTGTCTTGAAAATGCTTGACAATAACCCAGACTTTCAAAGAGGTTTTTTTCCTGTTTCAGAAAATATAGTTTTCTTCTGTGATTAAAACTTTAGAAAAAAAAAATTCATGAATTGCTCATATTACTCACCTTTTCTCCAGATTTATGAAAATGTACAAAAAAGTATTTTGGTCATATATTTTGTTTTGTGACGAGGTGTTCCTGTGTCAAGAAGCAAAGAATTATGCACATGTATGTCCAGTGAAATAAGCAGAAAAAGTTCCTTATGGACTGCAATCTATTGAAATTCATGAACAGAGATGTCTGAAGGATTTCCCTGTTGACATCTGCCCCATAACGTCAGAACTGTGGATTTTCAAAGGT